TCAGTTTACAGCAAGCTGTAACAAAGAAAAGGACAACTAATGGAGCAAAGTGCTGTGTTGAGGTAAACAGGTTAGATGCAGAAATTAGCCTTGGAAAGAGAAAAGCACTCTCTTACTCTGAAATTGGAGAAAAGAGTATAGAATAGGTTGAGGCTGAAATTTTCTTATGCAAATAAAAGCAACATGGAAGAATTAGTGTTGGATGGATTTAGTCATTTCAGGGAACCAATCTGCTCATGCATCATGTGGTTGGCCTCAGATGATACTGGGGTTGAGAAGACAGGAGATGGTTTAGAACGGCATGTCGAGTAATGAGATAGAGATTGAGCAATAGACATGATTAAACTATTTGGTCAGTGTGCTACATTTTACTGTATATAGTGCCTTAATGTAAACATCTATGCTCACATCCGTAGTATACTGTAGGTCCTGCAATATATTTTTGTTTTTTTTAATCCATAAGAGAATTTATAAAGACAGTAGCAGAATCATTTCAGAGAAAGCTAAAAAATAATATTTTCTAGACTATTCTGTCCTCAATTCATGGCAATTATAACTATCAACTATAATTGATAGTTATAGTTGATAGTTACAATTGGAAGGGCATATTAATTTTTGAGGGTAATATAATTTTTAAAAAGTATCCTTACATTATTCTGGAAGTAAGGCTGCAGGGTTATTAAGAACTCTTTTAAGTGGCCTGATTTGGGGGAAATTTGACTCTTTTTAATATTATAAATCTAGGCATATTACAAGAAACTGTCATAAGAAAATATACATGAGCTCAGGAATAATTTGTCTCTGGTATTTCCCAGGTATATTGCAATTTGAGTGAAAAAACATCTCAGCTCTCTGTTTTGATGGAAATAATACAAGAGGGAGTTATACCTTACATTTAAACATGACTTGGAATCACCTAATGTGAAAGGGGAGAAGATCTGGGTTAAGCTTGGGAAAGCAAACAAATAAACTAAATAAGCAGAGTTGATAAGACATGGGGGCACCCTTCTGCTCAAATGTACTGCTTCTTCACGTAAATTTTAATTCATTTTTGAAACCGTCAGTAAGTAAAAAATGGTTAAATGAAAAAAAGGTTTTTATCATAAAAGTGAGAAAAATTACAATATGTTCCATCCTAACCCAAGATACCCAAACCGATTTCACAGACAGAAAAACATATCAAATAAACAATGTAAATACATTAATTTATGTAATAACACGGAAAGTAAATAAAATTTGTACATAACTTGTAATGCAAAGGGGATTTATTGTATTCCCAAAGGAAGAAGAGAACATTTGATGGTGAGTGGTGGTAGGTAATCAAAAAAGAGTGTGAGCAAGTCATCTGTTGTAAGACGATGGGAGATTTTTATGCAGAATATTTATTTAAAATATCAGAAATAAATAATAATAAATAAATATTTATTCAATATCAGAATCGGAAGTGTTTATGATAATTTTCTTTATCATGATACCTGGAGACTAGAATAAGATCATAATTTTGAAAATGTTAGTATATCCACAGAGGGAGTGAAAGCTCTGGGTCAAAAATAATGTGCCGCAAGACATGAAAAATAGCACACATGCACAACCACCTGAGCTGTTACAGAAGATGCTGCATTCTCATTCCATTGTGCTTGAACTTTTATTCTTCTTTTTGTTTATTTATTTGTATTTTTGATTGAAATATAATTGATTTTTCACATTTGTGGGGTACAGAGTTGAATATCAATACATGTGTACACCGTGTGCAGATGAAATCCAGATAATTAGTATATTCATCGCTACAAAATGTAATCATTTCATTGTGTTGAGAACACTTGATCTCCTCTCCTCCAGCCATTTGATAATATGCGTAACTTAATGTCAACTTATTTTTCCTAACTGGCTATTTTGTCTTCATTATCTCTTATGCTTGGTATTCTTGTTCACTTTTCATTTTTTCCTCAACCTATAAGGTACTTTACACATTTTATTCCATAACTCCAGGGCAGTGTTTAGAATTCTATCCACAAATAAAATTGTCTTAAGAATCTATTGTGAGTGAAAATTTGAACTTGTAAAGTGTATCAAGTGAGAAGCCTCAGTGAAGCACTCATCATACTCAAAATCTATTTTTATCTAATAATATGAAAGAAATAATTATTTTCACACATATGGCTCCAATAAAATTCTTACTTCTCTCAAATCTTGTGTACACTGTGAACACCTGTTCTAGTATTTTGCCTTTCTGTTTGTTTTCAAATTGAGTGTCCATCTTTCTTAACTGATTCTTAGGAGGTCTTCAAATATTTGGATTCGAGTCTTTAAACTGGTATAACCATTTTGAAAAAATAATTAACATTATCTACTGAGGTTAAACACATAGATGACTTATGACCAGTAATTTCAACAGAAACACCTGAATGTCCATCAGCGATAGAATGGATTACAATAAAAAGCTCCATATTCATTCAATAGAATGCTACACAACATGAAAAAGAATGAATCACTGGTACATAAAATAACATAGATGGAGTCACAGATATAATTTTGAGTGAAATAATCCAGAAATAGAAAAGTAAACTCTGTGTGCTTCCATTTATATAAAGGCCAAGATAGGCGATATAAATCTACGGTAATAGAGGTGTGAACACCTGCATTTTATGCTCAGCATCCAGTGAGAGGAGGAAGAAGAGATTTTTTGGGGGGTGCTAAATATGTTCCAGATGCTAAAATTTATATTTGTGAATATATGATGGTAAACACTTAAGAATACTATATGTAAGTTATACATATATATAGTCATATATATGTATATATACTATATACATATACTTTTGTTGGTATCAATAAACCATCATACTTAATACACAGCCATTTAGAATGGTTCCTGATGTGGCATTTCCTTGATTAAATGCTAAGTAGAAACAGAGATTGATTCTAAGATATAAAGAATATTATTTCGTGACAGTTGAAAAATGTCTGGCACAACAAAATATTTAAAAGATGAGAGTGCTTGCTATCAAAGTTCACTTTCACATTTTAACAATAGTTGAACTAAATTACATATAAAACTATTTTTTAAAATACTCAGTAAACAGTAAATGAAAGTGTTAAAGTTAAATAAACCCATTTCATTTCTTTCTGACAGTTAATAGGCAATGCTCCATATTTTGCTTTATAAACAATTTTATGGTAGAAATAAACAGGTTTCTCTATTCACATTTTCTTTAACCAAGAGCATTTAAATAAATATTATTGATTACTTGCAAATTATAAATTGTGGATTCAGAGGTCAAAACTAAAGCTCTAAGGATATAATTTAATTAGAATGATCCATAATTGTGAATTCCCCTCAGCAGCGCCCCTAAGACAAGAAGCTCTTTCTCACATCAAACTGAGTTATTTTAATGATCATGGTTTGCACAGGAAAAATCTATTGAAAAGTTAGGAATATCCTAATCCCTTTGCAATTAAAAAGAAAAACAAAAACAAAACTTCTTCCTGATACTTCTTTATTCCTTAGCCCTCACGAGTTCCATAAAAATATGAACACTAAAGCTTGGGTCAGATCAATGATTAAGCTGATTTAATATCGTCCAACAACTCCATGTTTTACAAGATGGTGGGATTGTCATCTACAATGTCACTGCAAAGGACTTGATAGGGGACATGATACTCTAAGCTTCACATAATCCATTTTATATCTGTCACCCCAAATTTATCACACCATTTGTATTAAAACTCACAACAGGGACATCCCTGAAGCACAGAGATCTATTGACAAGGATGTGAGTCATCAGCCCCTTTTATTTTATTCTTCAGATAGAATTTCAAAGGTTCACCTTTGTCTTCCAGCACTTTCCCAATCACTCTACAGAAGGAAGATTGGAACTAAGACTCTGATTTTCAGATGATGTCTACCATAAAATAACTTATAGTTATTTCATTCGTTCTCTCTCAGGATTCTTCTCTAATACATGGGGAATATAAGTGACCTACTTCCATAGAGTAACAGTGAGAATAAAAGTTTAAAACATACGTCAGGTATTCTGACTTCCAGAATGGTAAAGTCCTATCAAAATCCACTTCTCTACAAAAGCAGTGAGGACAGTAAGAACAATGGTCAAAATCAACTTTATCAGAACTCGGGACATTAATCAAAGTGCTATAACAATTCACAGAGTGTTTCTTCAAGAAAAATGCTGAATCTCAGCAAGCTTTGTGGCATTTTAGCTTGCTCTGCTTCCAACCCCCTCTCCCCTGTGCTGTAGTAGCATTAAAAATGAACAGCCCCAAAATCACAGAGAAAAATCAACAGCTTAGCAGCCACTGATGGGATAAGTGGAAGGGGAAAAATGGGTTTGGAGCTCACCAGAAGCTCCATCCTCAGAGTGTCATTGTTATTCAATCTGACAGTATTATCATTATTAGACTTCAAAGACCTCAAATCTCTACTCATAGGCTGTGTTTTTATTTTACCTGATTCATACATTCCTCGGGGCAAATTAGCCTTTGTGCCCAGGGTATTTGCTAAAAACAATCGGTGATAACAGTTGAACATTTCAGCTCTCTAAAGTGTTAATAATGTTTGGGTCAAACAAGAAGCTGACCAAAAATCTTAAAAGGAATACCAGGCAATGAGGAATGAGGTGTCCATCTGTTTTGGAACGGACTTTGATAGAGAAGTAGTCGGCACTCAGAGGGTTGCAGAGTCAGGTATTTTATTACACAGGCGGGTCCAGATGAGCTAGCACTTCCAAATCTGAGCCTTGAGTTTAGGTCTTGTGGGGTTTATATAGGCAGACTTTTTTTGCTTTCCCAGCATTCATGTAGCTATTGCGATAAGCAAGCATAGTCTATAGAAGCGGAGTGAAGAGCAGTTGATTATCAGTAGAGCTGATACAATAAACAGGTTCTGTTCTAAAGGCAAAACAAGCTACTAAAAGAATTAATTTTTTATTTTTCCAATACATCTGGACATATTCCTGGGAATCCAGAAGCACCTGTGCATGTGCAGTGCTCTGTGCATTGCAAGAAAAACCTGAGAAGCCCTAATAGCTCAGTGCTGATTGACTCAAGGGCTCCTCAAAAGCAGAAAGAAAAGGCAAGGGCGGGGTTACTGATGCCGAAGGAGAAGAGGTCTGGGAAGTCTGGGTACTTGGCCTTAACCCACCCCATTCTCGTACCGAGGACTTGACTCTGCCACAGGAAAGAACTCAAGAGCAGAATCATAGTAGAAGGTGAGAACCGTTTAATGTAATGAATAAGAGAGAGAGATTTCACAGAGAGTGTGGCCTAGCTCCAGAGACCCAGCAGGGCCCACACCAGGTCCAATACAAAAGTAAGAAATACCCCTTAAAGTCTAGTACAGAATGCAGGTTGGCTCAAGAGAGTGAGCAGCCACCGGCTGAAAATAAGTTTGATATAAAAGAAAGCACACACACATCAGCCAGCGAAGTGTGGGTTGGCCCAGGAAAAGAGAGCAACAGCTCCGCCTTCTGCTAGGATTCAACTTTTATAGTCTCGCTATCTGATACATATTTATGCCACCTAACAAATATAAATTCCACTTTACTGAGCATGCTTGGCCATTAGGGTTATACAACCCATTTCTACTGAGCATGCCTAGCTACTGGATTTGCATAAGTCAGTCCACTGAGGTCTCAGGTCTCAGGTTGGTCCCCAAAATAGGTTCAACTTGTAACAGTAACTCTTCTCTATGGGAAAGTCTAGAGGAGGTTCTTGAGACCTTGGGGAATGCCTTGAAACCCAGAGATGTGTCCTGTTACTTGAGCTCAGGGAAACTGATCACCTCCTATCTCAGTACAGTGCCTTAGGGATGTTGAAAGTGTGCACCACAAACACATGAAGATGCTTGGCAAATGCTGTTAGAGTTATTGGTGCAAGGCATTTAAGGAAATCTTGTGTGTATATGCACACACACACACATGTTTTTGGATAAAGAAACTTCACAATAATTTTGGACATTTTTTTGGTTTACTAGGGGTAATATCCTGGTCTTTGGGTACTGCAAAAACAGCTGCTGTATCAGCAATGCAGAAAACTGAAAGGAAAAAAATCATAAAAATTTTAGTGGCATATTGTTGCCATAGGAAGGGTAGTATTTTTGAAATAAGCCACAATTTAAGTATTTTTTGTTTGTTTTTTAAAAATTAAGATAAATATTTAGAATGCCATGTATATATATGCTTGTCTGGGATTGTATAAGAAAAGAAAAACAATTAGAAAAATCAACAGTCTGTGTTCAATAAACTGAATCGTAAATATGCTAAAAATAATAATTTTGTTGTTCTAAATGTTTTCCTACCTTAGATCGGTTCTCAGGAATCTCCAGCAGTCTGTCTCATGTAATTTCTCATTTTCCTCCCTCAAGTTTACCATCAAAAAAGCGTCATACCTCAGTCCATGCAGATGACTTGGCTTTATCTTCTGCAGAGAAGAAGTAATCAGGTACATACCATCTAAATTTTCAGACCCATCCACTACACTGATGCCTATATTACAGTTTTTCTTTCCTTACAGATTCTTTTAGAGGAAAGTGTTTTTTCTACTATCCTAAATGAATCCTTCTCACTGTGCTATGTAAGCCTACCCTTACCACTCTGCTTAGGACCTTTGAGCCATCAGTCAAAACTTCTCTCCTGTATTTTCAACCTCTCCTTCTCCAGTGTTACATCCTCATCTTATGGACAGGCTCAGCCTGCTCATAGCATAGGGAAAACTTTTTGTTTGTTTGTTTTAAGTTGTGAGTCATACTCTAAATATGCCCTCTTAAGACTACATTCCCAGGCGAGATCTTGAAAAGAAAGATAAACTGTTATTTACTTTCTCTCTTCAATTTTCTTCTTGGCCCTCTGGTATCTGAACCAAGTGTGGCCACCCTTCAAAGTGCTCTAAGAAAGTTAACAGAGACCCGTTAATCATCTTGTGTCACAGGTACCTTCCAGGACTTATTTTCCAACACTATAGTGTTTGCTATGGTTCCTTGCGCTCCCTTACAACTCTATATCTTTGTTTTTCTGATAATATTTCCTCTTGGTTTTCCTTCTTTTTTTTCTGTCCCTCTTACTTCTAACATTTCTCTTTGCCTGTTCTTAAAAACTGGTATTTTTCTAAGTTTCATCCAAGTCCTTCACTTATATTGTTTGCTTTCTAAGCGAAAGCTCATCTATTTATGTGATGCCATCACTGAAAATACGCTTCTGAATGCCAAATCTGTAAACCGTATTTGGACTTCTCTCCAGACCCCTTATATTCAAATTGTAAATTATACCTTCTGTATGTCCCGTAGGTACAACAAAATCACTGGCTGTTGGCAGTATTTGGAAAGCTCCTGTGCATTTCAGTTTGGTGCTGGAATATTACCTTGACTATTTTAAAGTTGTTGATTTTAGGTTTATTTTTCCCTTTAAAATCATATGCTCTTAACTTCTTCATCACATGCCAGAGGCATAACTAAAGTTAGCCAGGAATTACTCCGAGGTGTGCAATGATTATTAAATCTTGAAAGGAAAACTATTAAACAATAGGTTGACTTTCCAGAATAGATCATTTTATTCCCTAGGAGCAAGGGCATAATTCGAGGCTGTAATTATTGATTTTGAATATTCCTCCTGTAAATGACTTGAAGTAGCATGCATAAATTAATTTGTTATAAACTATAAGTCACCCGTGTTTAAACTCTTTTTATCCTAATTGCAGAGAAAGTCAATATAAATTTATTTCCCCCAGTTTGTTTACTTCCTAATTAAATGAAAGCTGGAAGAGCTGGAAATTGTGAATATATGCATAAAAACACATTGGGGATCCTCTGTGGATGTGGCCAGTCCATAGTAAGCAACATAATCTGTGTACAGACATTTACAAACTCAACAGGGTAGATGTAAACAAGCTAGCTAATTATATCCCCAAGGAGTGGGGTTGCTAAACCCTGTATTAGTCACCTTTCATTGAAAAATAAAACAAAATACTATTTTGAAAGTGAGCAGCTTATTGGTAACTTTGTGTATTAGGCAGTAAAAATTTTAATTCCCCACAGGCTCTTCCCCAACCAAATTAAAAGCAATGTGTAAAAAACAAACAAACAAACAAACAAACAAACAAACAAAAAGAAAAGAAAAAGCAATGTGGTAAGATAATATTTAAATAAATTAATTTTTCAGAATTGATTGACAATTCATGTGTTTCTCATTCAATGTTTTAATAGGATGGTCAGTTTCCTTTCCCTTCACTGAGTGGGTGTGTATTGAAAACTGCATGTGATGTAAAAGATAATATACTGTCCATAGAAGTTTTAAATTACCAGACAGCTGCAAAAAAAGTATTTTGGTTGATGCTCTAACTAACAGATAAATACATATCAAGAAATTGCATTATTTTACTATATCTTATGCAAACTTTATTTTGCATTTTGATAGCTAGATATGAACAATGTGACTGAGGCCAAAGGTTATTCTTTATTTATGTTTCTGAAGTTGGCCATGCCATAGATATAAAGATTTCCTAGGGGCATGATGGATCTCGTGTATGTTTTTGGAGAATTAGCTTTAATAGTATAGGACAACCTGACTTTAAATTATATTGGCCTTGGCCTCTCTAATCCTCCCAATCAGCATTCTTCCAAAAATATGTAATGGTGGATTGCCACTATTCTTGTATTTAAAATATAAAATGCCAGATCAAATAGCAATATGTGATCTTAAACTACACATAACCTAGCACATGAAGATATAAGCAGTCAATTCACAGAATATTAAATGTAATTGGACAATAAATATATGAAAAATCCTTAAACATGTAAATGAGTATTGTTTTTCCAATAAGTTGATATATTTTTAGGTTTGAATATGAAAAGAAGTCAATCCTGTAGGTATCAAAACAGAGCTTACAAAGTTTTCTTACTTTCAGTGTAATAAAATAAAATGTAAATAAATATATGTAATACAAGTGTAAATAATGTATAAATTATAGATATAATGTCAGTCTCATTGCTCTGGTCTGAATGTGTCTCCCCAAAATTCATAAGTTGAAACCTAATCACCAATGTGATAGTGCTAGGATATTATGTCTTTCGGAGCTGATGAAGTCATTCACTAATCTCATGAATGGGACTAGTGTCCTTATAAAAGAGGCCCCAGAGAGCTGCCTTGCTTCTTGTACCCCATGAGGACACAACAAGAAGGTACCATCGATAAACCAGAAAGGGGCTATTACCAGTCCCTGAAACAACTGGCACAGTGATCCTGAACTTCCCAGCCTCCAGTATTGTGATAAATAAATTTCTGCTGTTTATAAGGCACCAGGGTCTAAGGTATTTTGTTATAGAAGATTGTATGACTAAGGTATTCATCTTTAGGGTCTACAGTGAAACTGGAAATGACTGGGCTACCCTAGTAATAATTCTATAAGTAAAAGTTTTATTTCTGTGGAATTACAGAACAGAAGCACCCATTGGATGAAATCTGATGTCCTGATCACTGTTTTTGGTCTGACTAATGCATAGTTTTATACAATCAGACAAATAATACTGGATGTTACAACATCACACATCACAGAATAATGGATTGTCATAAGAGTTTTGCAATATCGAAAATTTCCTGGTAAAATTAATAAAGGGGACTTAGATTAGATGATTATTACTTTGGTCTGTGGTTGTCTTGCTTGCTGTTTACAAATGCTTTATTGTGAAATTATTCTAGACTTACATAAATATAATATATACTCATATATACGTACACACAAACATATACACATACAATGGAATTATCCAAGCAAGAAATCTAACACTGCTATGATAATATTAACTTATCAACAGATCTTGTTAGAATTTTGCCTGCTGTCTTTGTTCAGGATCCTTCATGGCTTTTAGTTGTCAAGTTTATTTACTCTAATCTGAGAGATTTACCCAGTTTTTCTCTGTTTCTTTATGAACAATCTTGACATAGATTATGAATAATCTTAACAAGTTTTCCTTGTCTTTTATGAGTAATCTTGACATAGTAGCCATAATCTTGTATAATGTCTCTCAATTTTGTTTTTTATGGTATTTTCTCATGATTATATTGAGAATATGCATTTTGGGCAAGAATCCATAAAAGTGATGTTTCACTCTTCTCAGTGAATAATGTCGGGAAATATATGATGCCAATAAGTCCTATTAATGGTAATGCTAACCCTGTTTACTTACTTAAGGTGTTTTTTTGATTTGTTTCAAGTAATAGTAAATGTAAAACAGTAACAAATTACCACAAACTAAGAAGGTTAAAACAACACACGTTTATGATCTCACAGTTTCCATGGGTCAGCAATTCTGACATGAATTATCCCAGTCCACCACTCTGGCTACAGTCCAGGTGTTGGCTTAGCTGCATACTCACCTGGAGGTTTGACTGGGGATGACTTCACTTCCATGCTCATTCTTATTGTTGACCAAATTTATTTCCATGCAGCCGTGTAATTGAGAGACCTGGATTTTTGCTGACTGTTGGATGGTGTCTACCCTCAGAACCCAGAGGCTGACATAGGTCCCTGCCACATGGTTCCCTCCACAGGCAGCTCATAACATGCTGTTTGCTTCTTTAAGGCCAGCATGAGTGTCTCCCACATCAAGAAGGACTTTAGTCCTTGCTTCAAGGATTTCAACTTGATTAAGTCAGTCTGTAAGGTTAATCTCCCTTTACATTAACTCCAAATTAACTGAATTGGGATCTTAATTACACCTGCAAAATCCCTTTACCTTGACATATTATATTAGAACTAACAGAGTCTGTCCACGGGGAGCAGGGTAGTATACTTAGGCTGAGTCTAATACAACAGCAGTTTATTTCATACTAAATAAAACAGGAGCAGTATAATTCACCTAAAATAATCAGTTATTGATCACCTACTGCATACCAGGCATTTTGACTTGTACTAACCTGTAAAATAGATAATCATAGTTTATTTCATTCAACATCCAGATAAAGATATGCTCAGGAAACCAAGAAAGCACAAAGAAGGAGCACAGATCCATCTGGCAATTAAGGGACAGATTCTTGGAGAAGATCGGACATTAGGAGTGTAAGTGTGTTTCATAGGCGTAAAGAGGGAATAGGAACATTGGGGAAAGAGAGAGAGAGAGAGAGAGAGAGAGAGAGAGAGAGAGAGAGAGAGAGAGAGAGATAGCAAGACCAAAGATAGAAAGACAGTAAAGACGGTGGTCTGTCAAAGGCACAGAGAGGAGCTCAGTATTGGGTTAGCATTAACTGCAAGGAAGTGTGATGCTGGCGTGCTTAGCAGGAGCCAGGCATGGAAAGCATCATATGAAATTTTAAAGAGCTTGAACATTTTTCTCTAGAATAGTTGATAGGAAATCATTCAAAAGCATCAAAGAAGATTTTGCATGGTATGATAGATACATTCTTTAAGAATATTGAGAAACTCTAGTTAAAAATAATGAAACAACTAGCAATGTGGTAGTTGATGTGAAGAGGAGAAGACATATTTTAGGAAGACTTGGGAGCTCAGTTAACACTCAATAATTGCTTAGATGTAGAGTCTAACACAGAGAGAGGTGAGGCGAAAATTATCTCCAGGATCTTAGGTAAGGAAATAGGTGAATAGGGATATGGTAAACTGAGATAAATAAAGAGCCAAGAATAAAGTATTAATTTCCTATTATTGCCACAGTAAATTACAACAAATTAAGTGGCTTAATATAAATATGTTATTTTACAGTTCTGAAGGTTAGACATACAACATCTACCTCACTGCTAAAATGGAAATTTAAGCAGGACTGCATTCCTTTCTGAATGCCCTGGGGAAGCATCACATCACTCTCTCTCCTCCACTTTTAAGGACCCTTGTGATTACATCGGACCCACCTGGACAATCCATGATAATCTTTCTATTTTAAGGTTAGCTGTTTAGCAGCCTTAGTTTCACTTGAAACCTTAATTCCCCTTTGCTAATTTGGCAAATCCATAAATTCCAGGGATTAGAACATAGATATCTTTAGGGGGCCATTATTCTGCCTTCCACAGTCTTCTCTCAAACTTCAAATAATACTCATCCATCCCATATACAAAATATCTTAACTCCGTTCCAATTGCCCAAATGGTCTTATCACATTACAGCATCGATTCAAAGTACATTTCATCTAAAGACCATCAGTTCAAAAGTACCAAATTACTCCCAGAAAACAAATTAGTAAAGGTATAAGATCATATTTACAGATATTGTTGTTTAAAAGAGGTGCAAATGGAAGAAAAAAAAAAAGATTTACAGGTGCCAAGCAACTTCACAATCCAGACAGACAAAGTAATTTAGTTTTCAATGCTTAGCAATAATCGTCTGTGTTTTTTAGCTCCACTTACCAAGTTTGAGTCTAGGCTCTCTGGACTCAAGGCTCTGTCTTTTGGATTACCATTTCTTTTTCATGAAATATAGCATGTATATATAACTGAGTAACTCAATCAGCCTTCATTTATTTTGTGTTCTCTATATTCTTCTCGGTTCAAGCTAGCAGTACCTTGGTTGGTATAACATTCTCAAGAATTTTGTGTGTCTCTAGTGTATATCATGGGGTTCTCTCCAGTAGAGCAACGGCTTGTTCACAGATATTTTCTGTATAATCTCATCTCTATTTTCAGCTTTTGCTGAGATGATAGAAGGCATCTATGAGTCAAACTTAATATCTTTACATAGCTTTTTGTGTGATGGAATACTTTGACCTTTTGATCTTCCCCAGGTACTAGCAAAAGATTTTCCAACCACAGCCTTGGCTTTTTTAGAGTACACTTTCCTGACAGCAAATCTTTTAATTTTAGTGTCTTTGCAATATAGATGAGAATTTCCTAAATAAGCAAAGTAGTTTTTTGGTTTAACAATTATTCCCTCAATTTTCTCTTACATTTTACTGGAAGCAGCAAGACAAAATAAGGCTGAACCTTCAAAAAACGTTTGGGAAATCTCCTCAGCTAAATGTGAAATTTATGAATTATCTTTTCCACATAACTGCAGGTAATAATTTTGCTAAACTTTATACCACTATATAACATGCATGAATATTTGGCTTTTATTGTCTTTAATGGTGGAGGTAGTTATGGAATAACTCTGGGGAGGGGAGTTAATGGAGTCAGGGGTTTGGGCCAATGATGGGGGGAAAAAAATATCAGTGTTCTGAAGTTGTATGTCATTGATACAAAATATTAATAAATAACAGAATGCTGCAATTTTAAAGACAGTTATTTCTCATCCAACATGCAGCGACTGAACTAAAGGTTTCAGAGTTCATGTGGTACAGTAAGACAGGGATTAGAAAAAAATCTGCATAGCTAGGTTGTAGTTCTGACATTGCCACCTACAAGGCTTGTGACCCTGGGAATGTCACTTCATCTCTCAGCAATATAATTTTGCAGATCAATAATATGTGTGAAGCATAGAGTTGCTGTGAGAAAAAAAATAATATAGTATATGGGAGATCTCTGTGAATACCAGTTGTATATGTGGATTTACAAAATAATAGATTTGGGAAAACCATTATAGAGAAAAAAAAATTGGAAGCAATTAGAACTATTATGAACTGAATAAAAGAGGAGAATTGGTACCATAACTTAGTAAATTTATTTTAATAAATCCAATTCATGTTAGTTCCTCAGTGTTTATTCTTGCTCTGTGAATATATATTTTTACATCCATTTTCTTGCTTTTCTTCTTTCTATTGTTAATGCACAGAGGATTGCAACAAGTTCTATTCTCAAATTGCATCAGGCAATAGATGGCTCTAATTCCCAACTCAGAAAAATCTCATTTTCAGGAAATGTTTGAGCTTTGACTTTGATCACATGCAGAATATTTTGGTTCAAAAGTCTTGCCTTTGTGTAAATAAAAAAAAGCATCCTTGAAAACTACATCTACAAATGGAAATACAGAATAAAGAGGACAAACTAAAGGTTATAGAACAAAATAAAACATTAAGAGAGAGAAATGGTAACACAATATTACTGTATACAATATATTAATATATTTTTAAAATGTGAAAATCTCTAGCAAAGAAAGCAACATGTGAACAAAGGAATTGGGGTAAAATAATAGAATGTGAAACAGCACAATCTGCTGAAAACATACTAAGGACAATTTGGAATATTCCTGAAAACACTGTTCATAGTATCAGAACATGTATATTTAAAGAAAAGTTGATTTTGAAACATGTGTGGGCCAAGTAATATGTAGACTTTGTTACACTATATTTATAAACTGTTTCTTTGACTGAAGAATCAATTTAAATGTTCTTCTTTGAAGCAATTATATAAATGTATTTAGGAATAATTATTCTTTTGCCTAAAAGTTTCTTAAATGTTCACAATTTTAGGATAATCTCTGTCAAATTATATTTTTTTAAAAAATTATGATGCCTAAAAATCAAAGAGCTACCAAACATTAAATCAAAGCCCTCTTAAAATATATATAAACGGTTTGCACAAACATTGATCATTGAAAACAGTGCTGAATAAGAGTCAGTAATTTCTTGACCC